TGAAACACTATCTTGGTGTAGAAGCTACACAGTGTTAATTCTGGCTGGTCTTTGGATGGGATTCCTCTAAGAAAGGCCAGGTTGGAAAATAAAGCAAAACTAAACATCCAAATAAAAAGCCAATACACAAACCACTTCCGTTCTGCTGCCAAGAAAACTGAATGGACATGTTTATGAACTCACCAAAATTTGAGCTCAGCCTGAAAGAGATTTTTCCTTGTAATTTTAGATTATATTTATGTTAAATTGTCTTTAGGCTATTATTCCCTATGTAATCAATTTGAAAAGAATTGATTTGAAAAGAATGCTAGGATTTGCATCCAAACAGGAAGAGGGCCTCCAATTGTCCACCTTAAAACTATTATACTGAGAAAATAGTAAGCAAGCTGTTTAGTTCCGTTGATGGATTCTAAAAAGCTACCGTAGACACTGTATTTGTCCTTAAGTCAATGAGCTGTGGTGGTGGTGGTGCAGTGGTTAGAGTGCAGTACTGCAGGCTACTTCTGCTGCCTACCGGCTGCCTGCAATCTGACAGTTCAAATCTCACCAGCTCAAAGTTGACTCAGCTTTCCATCCTTCCGAGGTGGGTAAAATAAGGACCCAAATTGTTGGGGACAATATGCTGACTCTGCAAACTGCTTAGAGAGGGCTGTAAAGCACTGTGAAGCTGTATATAAGTCTAAGTGCTATTGCTGTTGCTATTAAGTCCAAATAAAATTTGAGAATCAGTGCTCTGTAGCTGAAAGAAGGAAGTGGGGAAGAGCTAAGAGATGGATAAAACCAGGGGTATTTGTGTATACATGCATGTTATAGGAAGTGTCTCTTTTTTTTAATTAAAAGATTCCAAATGTAGATTGATGGAATGTTAATTGGCTTTAAGCTCTTAAAAAAAACTTAATGGGATGTTCACCAAAGTACACATGGGAAGTTGTCCCTATTTCTTCCATTAAAGAAACAGCTCACAGTGAATGACTGTGAAGATTGTATTTAGGCCTTTGAAAAGCAAGCCATTCACAGAGTTGCTTTTTCTTTGCTAAAAGACATGTTCTCAGCTTCAGCATGGCTACCAGCCAAAAATGCAATTTACTCTTCTTTCTTTCTTTCTTTCTTTCTTTCTTTCTTTCTTTCTTTCTTTC